GGTCGCTCCCAGGGGTCTCGCCGACTCAGCAGAGAGATGCTTGGAGCTGCCGCCGGCTCCTCGCAGGCCTGGCTCGGGGCGCGGAATTTGCCTTCACACCGAGCTATAGATAAAGAAACGGGTCGTTATGGCCAATAAAACGTGCAGCACGGGGGAAGGGGATGTGCCGTTTAAAGATAGGGCTTATTTTATTTTGATCTCACGGTTCAAGGTTCCTCTGGCAGCCGCAGCCCCGTGCAGTTTGCTCTGTTCAGCTGTCACGGTCTGCAGCAGGTATCAGACAGGAAACTGCTGAAAAAAAATCACGTGTAATTCGGGGTCCTCAAGGAGATTAAAAAGCCGCAATTAGTTGCAGTCAGTGAGCAATCACACGGAACGTGTAACTCAAATAGTGACGCCGACTTTTGGAGAGCTACTCATTAATTTAAAGTGCTGAGATTTTTGAGCGTTTAAAGGGGACAGACCAAGTCTGTAAAATAGTATCGTTTTCTCTAACTGCTTAAGAGGCTTTTGTGAATTAATTTATGCACGGTACTGCTGATGCTTGGTAACCCAATGCACTCCTTGTTGAGAGAATTTAAATCATAACTTTACAACTGAGTTGCATCTGGTCTTAAAATGAGAAAAGCTGATGCTACTCTGGAACCAGTATGTTAATCCATCAGCCCATGCTGGGCTCCTCTAACACTTTTAAGTTGTTCTGTAGACACCCATAGCAAGCTTAGATGAGAACACTTGCCGTATATGTTTGTAGGAGAGGTATTCTCATGTCTCTCTTCCTCCTTTTCTATCTCCAGATGTGTAAAACAAAGACTCACTGAGGTACTGTGGACCTTACCTGCTGCCCATTGCTGCTACTAGTTATACAAGTAGGATTTACTATTATGAACATGAAATCAGTACCTGGGGCTCGCAGACAGGACTTTACAGCAAGCTATATGAACACATACAAAAACATGTTTCCTGTCCCAGACTGATGTGGCATATGATGAGAGTTGATACCTGCCCAGCACATAAAATTTTAGTGCATCTGTAAATCTACTAACAATTAAAAGTGCATATTGTCATTCATTGTGCACCTGCTTTTCAAGCCAACAGTTGCTAATTTTTCCAAGACAGCATTGCTGAAGTGGAGTTTGAGTGGTGGTCTCAATCTGTGGCTCATGACATAGCCAGGAAGTGACCACCTCTATGGGTAGATTGACTGCAGAAGCAAGGATGTGATTTATCATAGTTGAACTGTTCTTGATGGGCCAGCAACAATCCTAAGGAATTTGCAGGTGAAGAGAATGGTGATCGGACATACCTGGTCAGGTGGCATGCTCCCATCTGAGAGAAATTCTCAGGTTTTCTAAAAAAAACCAGCACACAGGCTGGCATCTTTCCCCAAATTTTCACTCACATGGTTATGAATCAAAACTTGACAATACATTTCAGGTGTGGGACAAATACCTGCACATGCAGAGTTGTGGAACTCTGGGTTAATGAGGGGGAAGCTGTTCGCCATACCCATGTGGTTCTAGCTTCAGCACTACCACCAAGGGACATCATTGCCACAACACAGACTTACTGTGACCATCCTGATGTATGGCTGGACTCCCACTTGTGGGAGAAGAGGGAGGAAAGAGCTGAAAAGACCCCTGCCACTGCACCGGGAGGAAGTGGGAGGTCCTCTTTGATTTCCTCATTAGGAAGAAGTGAGGCTTCTGTGGAAAGAAAGGAGTCCTTGCCACTGGGAGTAAGGGCCCCCAGTTATCTTATGCAGGAGCATAGGTGCAGGGAAGGCTTTAATATATGGCAAAGGCAGACAAGAAAGACAATTAGAAACATTAGCCCAGCAGAGAGAGATAAAAGACTTAGGTGGGATTCATTTTACCTAACTTTAGCTATCTGAGATTATGCAAAACACACCTAGCTTTCAAAGTTAGGTAAGGTAAATCCTGCCCTAAAGCTTACCCGAGTGAAATAGGGTTGCAGTGAAAGGGATCTGAAGAGAAACGAGTTATGTTTAGATTGACAGATGAGAAAAATGACCTTTAATAGCTCCTTTTTCCCTTTTAGCTTTGGTTAGAGTAAAAAGAGAAGAATATGGTTTCTAAAGAAAGCTCTTTGCCTTACATAGACAAGTGATAATTTACAGACATCTGCTCTCAGCACCGAAGTCAATGCATGGTGCAAATGGACTGCTGTGCGCTTTGTCTGAGAGGAATCAACTCTTCTGTGGCCTTGTTCAAGTCTACAGCATCGTCTCAGAGAACTGAAAAGCAGGCAAATTGACAACATCAATGAGTTGCTACAGACATTTA